TTGTGTGAAAAGTAATAAATCAGAGATTATTTTCTGTGCATTGTGTGGTACATGCCATTGCACAAAGGTCTTTTTCATTTTCTTTTTTTCCCATAGGTTGCAACATGTCATTTACCTCTCTTGGACTTCGTGATTATTTTTTTTATCATTTCCTATATTTTGTAAGAGTGCATTGTTTTATTGTCATCTCCATTATTTTAAACATCCTCGTCATACCTCCACTAGTGTCTCTGCCCACAGAGTGTATTATCAACTGCTCTCCAGTTCTCCTCGTGTTCCTCTGTCAAGGAGTTCTTACTCATCCTACTTGTAAAGAACAGAACTCTCTGGGCCCACACAAAGCATCAGATGCTTCCATCCTAGTGAAGAAAGACTGCGGCATGGGGTTTTAATTTACTGAAAGCTTATACGAAAGCAGAGTAAAGCCTCTATTCCCAGTGTCCCCAGCTGTGTGGTTGTTACAGGTGTTATTGTCCTGCTGAGAGCTGGAGCCCCCACTGACCGTGGAGATAAATGCCCCAGTCCAGCCTTGGTTCAGTGTTAGCAAAGGAAGAGAGTGCTTTAGAATGATTATGAGTTCACCCTGGAGCTCTCAGTAATCAGGAACTGCCACTTTTCCTTTCTTCTTGCAAGAGGAAATGCAAATAAATGAGGTCAGAAAAAGAGATCTAAATAATAAAAGCCCCAAGTGGGAAGTATTGGTAAAAATTAAGGAAATAGGTCATTGAAGTTGGGTGGAGGTAAAAGAGAATGGCAGGCAAATCAATGGGACAGGTATTGAAATGCCCCTTTGGGACAGATGTTGTTAAAGAGTACAAACTTGTAAGGGGTAGTAAATAAGTCCTAGAGCTCTAGTGCACAGTATAGTGAATATAGACAATAATGTATTATAATCATCAAACTTGCTATGAAACTAGAACTTAATGATTCCAACCACTAAAAAGAAAGGATAATTATGTAATGTAATAGAGGTGCTAATTATCACTACAATGGCAATCATGGTACAATATATAAATGTATTAAATTAACATGTTGTACACCTTAAATTTGCACAATGTTATATGTCAAATATATTTCAATAAAAAAAATGTCAGAGTGCACCTTTGGGAAGGAGAGTAAAAGCTGGGGTAACCTACAGGGGCCTGGAATCTGCATTCCCACATTGCTCAGAGGCCAAAGATGTGAAATGTGGGGAGGTAGGGGGCGGGCCATGGAGACAGTGCTCTGGATATAGTCATCCTAAGCTAAGTTCAGGTGGGTGTGCAACTCTGCATGCTGGGGAGGATGCTTTGGAAAAATCCTTCGGTGTTTATGAGTATTTACCCCTCAGCTATGCTGGGCTGAGTAGATTAAATAAAAGTTATCCAAAGCACTTTCTCTTTCAAACTTTCACGTTCTCCCGAGTGTCTGAGACCACCATGGGGGTTGGGGAAGGATAGTGGACAGACCCACAAATTAGAAACACTCCTTTTGACACAGCAGCAACCACCACCACCACGTGAATTGCCCAGTATATCTCAGGAGTTAGTCTCTTTAGGATGGGCACAGTGGTCTTGACTGGATTGCATGCCCCTTTAGATTGATTCTGTTCGCTCCCTATGCTAGAAGTTTTCCTTATTTTTAAATGACTTTATATGTTGCTTTATTTTTAAAAAACCTTTCCTATATATTGACTTCTTTGAGTTTTTCCACAACCCTGAAAGACAGGTTTTATTATTAGCAACTTCATTTTGCAGATGTTCAACTGAAGAATCAAGAAGACAAGAGGTCAGCCTCCACACAGCGGGCAAGGGGAAAGCAACTTCAGCCTGGACCTTTGGTCTTTAAATTCTGGATTCTTGCACGACCCCACACGTTTTATCTGAAGACAAAGTAGCATGGACATAGACCAACAAGAGCAGTATCAAAGGAGATGGGTGAAATACGGCTGTAGAGTTGACACTGCTCATTTTAAATGGTAGGAATTGTCTGACTGATTTGCCTGATGTGGTTATTTCAGATATGTTCATGATGAGAGGGGACACCACAGAATCGATTTAGCCAATCAATTCCTGGTTGGGAATTCCCCCAGCAGAGGAATGGCTGCTGGCAGGGCTGATTATTATCTTCAACTCACCCCCTAATGCAAGTTTCATTTCAACTGTGGCGCTCTTTCTCACCTTTTCTTCTACTCTTCTCATTCCTGGGAATTTCTCCTAGGAACATAATTCAAAGGGAAGAAAAAGCTATATGCATGAAGATGTCATTGCAGCTTTATCTATAACAGCAAAATATTGGAAAGATTTAATGCCCAATTACATGGAATATTTAAGTTATGCTAGATTGATTTGATAGAATATTATGCAACAATAAATACAAGGGTTATAACAATTATATAGCAAAAATCAAAAGACCATAATACTAAACATAAAAAGAAGAAGAAAAAATATGCTGGCTATAGTTTGGTGAAAATATGTTTTTGCAAGGACCAAGACTGAAAAAATAAGGATAGTGAGTTATACATGAATCTTTTTAAACAATTTCTTTTAAATATTGCTCTCACAAATAAAAATCGTACAGAAAACACAAAATAATAACTGTTGTTCAACATTAACTGAACTGCTGTTGTATGTGTCTCTGTATGTGTGTGTGTGTGTATAGTCTAACAATTTATCAGGTAAATTTAAAGCCAAGATTCCTGAGAATCAACACTCAACATTTTCATTACTAAGCTTTTTAACCTCTGTAGTCGTAAATTCATCCATCTATAGAAGAACGATTTTTATAGCAGGCATTCAATAAATGTTTCCTGAGTGAATGAATACATAAGCAATGGGAAGAGATCAGATCCCTGTGATGGACAGGAGCCTTGTTTCTAACACACGCCTTTCAAACTCCTGAAAAAGGGAGCAGCAATGTCAGGAAGTTCTTTTGTGTTATTGTAACAATGAGGGGAGGTAAGGATATTTTCTGGACTGTCCTTCACTCTGGCGCCTGTCACAACTTCCTCTCTACAGTGTGGAAGTGTGTGTTGTATGTACATTTAAAGGCATACCTATTTGAATAAAACATTGATTGCATAATTAGCTCCTAAGGGACAATGGGGGACCGATGTGACTCCATGTCCGCACTCCCTACTCTGCCCACACAACCAACACATGGGTCTCTTTGGCCCAGTGTTCGAAGGAAGGAGGATTTACGGAACTACCTAACCCAGACGAGAACTGGGATTCCAGAGGGGGTTGAATTTTGGGTACTAAACCACTCGACATAGTTCAAGAAAGTGTCAGAACAAAATTCTTTTCTTGTCTTTAAAATAATAATTACAATGACAATGGTAATTACTTTCCTTCAAATCATTGGATCATAATATGTCACAGTTGTCTTTTAGCACCAGTACCTGGCACACTCTCTAGTACTGCGCTCGGCACAGAATGGGTGCTGAAGTGAACGAATCCTGCCCTTGCACCAAGGTGACCCGGCCCGTGTGCTCCCCTCTACCCCAGGGCCCACTCTCAGTCTCCGTGAATCTGGCTTTTTTTCTTAAAGAAATGATTTTATTTTTTGAATAAGTAGACATAAGCACTTGTTAGAAAATTTTTAAAAGAAGAACAGCATACAGGAAAAGTAAATCTCCTTCCCATCCCCTTTTCCCTAAGTCACTGCGTCCCTTTCTAGTGATATCTCTGCAAATACAAGCATATATATATTGAAAGCTTTTTTGGAAATTCAAAGCATTCCATAGGGTGGATATACCATAATTTATTTAAACAGTTTACTATTGACGAAAACTTAGGTTGTTTCTCATTTTTGCTTTTACAAATAATGGTACTGTTAAAAAATAAACTGAGGCATATTAAACATTTTAAGAGTTTATTTGAGGAAAAATTGATTCAAATCGGGCAGTGTCAAACTGAAAGTGGTTAGGAGCGCTCCACTGACAGGAGTTCGGGGAGACTTTTATAGAGAAGAGGTGGAAGCAAAGCAAGGGCACTATTGATTGGCTATGGCTTAAAGCCTAGTTGGCTATTTGTGACTGATTGTCCTTAGGTATTGATTTCATAACCTTGAAGCGTTTACAGGCTTAGGTTTAGGTTTGCTTATGTCGGCCTCCACGGCTCTAGAGCCACCTCTAACGGCCTCCTTGTTTAATTAATTTAATGGTACAAGCGTACATTTCTGCACATGCGTGTGTACATCTGTAGTTTAAGTACCTAGATGAGGAATTGCTAGAAGGGTGAAGCGGGGAGTGGATATTGGCGACATCCAGATACCTATGACTCAACTGGGATCAGGGAATATTCATAAATTACGTAATTTAGAGAGTTGACAATTTATGATGATTTCCAATCCAGAAGTATAATGTGTCTAGTTATTCAGTTCTCCTCTTACGTCCATTTTAAAATTTCCTTCATCTATGACTTATACATTTCTTATTTAATTTTATTCCTACCTGTTTTCTCTTTATTTTTGTTGCTATTGAAAATGTGGTCTTTTCTTATACTTTCTTTTCTGATTATTGTTTGGATATGTAAAGCCTGTTTATTTTGGTATGTTAATTGTGTAAAAATTTTTCTCTTAATTCTCTTAGGTTTTCTATCTTATCATTATACCATCTGTCTATCACTATACCATATTAATGCTATATCTCCTCCTTTCCAAATTGTAACCCTCACTTATTTTTCTTGCCTAACTGAATTAGCCAGTGTCTTCATGAAAATATTTCCAGTGGTGTTGGTGGCACTTTTGTCTTGCTTAGTGGTAATGTTATTTTCAATGTCCTCAATCAAGGGGTCTGGAATAGAAAATTCTATTGTTTTCTGATTGGTTGATATCTGAAAGTAAACACATACACAATTTTAAAGCATTGTTTTATTATAAATGTTTTGTGTGATGTAACTATACAATTAATCATCCTGTAACAAAAAGATGAGATGTACAAACCTGATAAATTTTTCCTATCATCCATACTCCAGAAGACACAACAAAAATGTTAAAGATGCACCATGTTTTAGATATCAGTTTTAATTTCATGTAACAAAAAGTAAACTTCATGAAGCAATAAATTATATGACAAAATTCAAAGATTAGATAAGGTGAGGATATTAAAAATAAACTATTGAATCACTTATACAAAAAGGCATTGACCAATGAGTGTAAGGTTGCTTTCTCGAATGCTTTCTGAAAAACACCAACTGGATGGGGATTTTCAAGAAAATGTGCCCAGTGTGAGGCAGTAAGTGGTTGTCCCTCGCGTGGCTTTTGTGGTGGATTGGGAATGAATGGTTGGTGAGGACGGTGGTGGGTGGGCAGGTGTGCTTCAGCCTGTCTGAGCCTAGACTCGATGGCCGAAGAACTGTGGGGCTCACCTGGGGAAGAGGGAAGCCAAGGTTCCCTAGGCTCAGTTTCTCTGACTCTTCAGGCAGGACTCCCAAGGCTACCACGCATTCTTAAGTGAACTAATAAGTTCCAAGACTCAAAGTCCCAAAAAGACATTAAAGGCACTTTAGGAAGAGCACCATTTAAGAGTATTCTACCTGTCTCTAAGTGCTACTGTCATGCCACTGCTTACCAGCTCTGTGCCTCGGTGAAGTTAATTAGTCTCCTAAGGCTCAGTTTTGGCATCTACAAACACCTACCTCATAAGGTTGATATGGGAATTAAAGGTGATAATGATTACAAAGGTCTTAGGATGGTCCCAGCACATACACGACAGCCCTTACATGTTCCTGGGATAGGGAAACCATCCTGATTGCAGAGGAAGACAAGTTCCCAATATTAATTTGATTTGGGGAAGGATCATTTTGATCTTGAAATTTAGGAAGTTGGAAGGAACTGAGACTGTTCCAAACTGAGAACATGCCCTCACTCAGGCTGCTGAAAGATAAATGGGCAGCCATTTGAATGCCAGCATCTCAGCACAGTGGGCAGTATAATATATTATTTATTCTCTCACACTGTGTCACAGTGAAGTCAGCCTCTAACTCATGATTTTCAATCTGCCCTTTGGCTCATGGTCTTCACTGTCTCCATAAAGGCTTAAACTTTTATTGTTGTTGTTTTATTGCTTTTAAATTCAAGCCCTAATTTCTTTTTTTGTTGCCCTGACAAAAACTGCCCTAAATTATGGTTTGAGATAAATGGTCCTGGGTCTTCCAGGGTCACAGTGGCCAAGGAGGGGGTTTGTCCTGAGAAGGCATTGTGGCCAGAGGAAGCCCCCTGGCCTTTAGCAGCCTTCCTGGCTGACTCTGACACCAGCATAGACTAGAGGTGAGTTGCAGCACGTGGTTAAAGCATCATTCACCTGCCCTAGTACTTAAACTTAGCCAGGCTTCTCAACGAGGAAATGAACACAGCGCCTAGGGGAGGTACCAGAGAACCCTTATTTGGGGCCCACTCAGAGCAGTTATTAGCCTCCAGGATTTTCAAATACATCATGACCTCACAGAATTATTCATGATGATGTCTGAGTAATACAAAACACTTGGGTCAGTGACTGTTAACATGTCTTGTGTCTGGGGGGCTTTTTAAAATGACACACATCAAAGTAGGGAGGTCTTATTGACTATATGGTCAATTCTGACTCTTCCCAAGTTTTGCTTTACTGGAATTAATCTAAGGATTCAAGGATTTCAAGTGCCATATGACTAGTACATAATAATTTTTAGCTATGATTATAAATAATTCAGGAATTTGGTCCATCATTAAGAAACCAAGAATTCCTGGAACAAACTAATACTTATTATTAAAATATGTATAGTATATTTTCAAAAATGCTCAAGATAAAACTGTAGAGAACACAACCAGCCAATTCAAACACTGTGCTTCGCTCTGTTTCCTGGACCCTGGCCAACGGCTGGCTTAAGCCGGGGCATCTCCTTGACTGAGGACAGCAGTACTGCACAGCACGGGAGCCTCAGCGAAGCGCCAGCTGTCTTCTGAAAATGACAGCATGACTTCAGGAAATGGCAAAAATTGTCTCACATCCATGGATCCTAATGAAGGCGGGAGCAGCACTCTTTCTGTAAGTATAAATGAAAACAGAAGCTCAAAAAGAGCAAGTAATCAGTAAGCTCAACAAACCGCGGCACGTAGTCATTAATCTCAACGCTCTGCAAAAGTTGGGGTTTGCTCTCTAACACACATATACAAGTGACATAAACCAGGATTGGGACCACAACTTCCCCAGAAGTGCAGTGCTGCACAACACTAGATTGGTGGAATATTGGTAGGATTTAAGTGAAAAAAAAATCTCTGATCCACTAAAGTTAGGAAGTTTGCAGTCAGAGAAAATTAAGCAGGTTTCTTCACTATAAGCTCTCTCACAGGCTAATATGCTAATGTGCACCATGGATCTCCAAGCGGAAGTTATGCCGTGGCATATTTCCCAACGTACTTGACCGACGTGGGACCCCTTTGTTGGTGGAGCATCTCTAGGAGGCTGCCTTCCTCAGTGCACTTTGGGAAGTGCTGCCTAATTGAACTCTGCCTGTTTCACAGCTGCCTCAGCAGGGAGGGGCCTGCAATGCCCCACATTACTGAGTACTGCGTTGCTGTACTGAGTACGCACTGCCTTGCTGAGGCTGTAATGCCTTATTGAGTATGCAATACCTTACTGAGTACCACACTGTCTTAGTGAGTACTGTACGGCCTTACTGAGTACTGCACCGCTTCACTAAGTACTACCTTCTGAGTACTGCACTGCCTCATTGAGTATGTACTGCCTTGCTGAATACCGTACTGCACTGGGGTTTCCACATCCATGTCCTCCCTGACACTGAGTGGAACAGGTTTGGGAGAACATAACAGAGGATCAAAAGTTTAAACATGTCACCTGATCCATTCATGCCCCCTACCCACTGCCCACTCTCTTTGTAGGTGAATTTCAGAATATCCCAATGGAACATCAGGGACCCTTTCTGCGGAGACAGGCATTGCCACTATAGGAAAACCAAAAGGTGCATATCACCGATAGGCTGTTACTTTAAAAAATATCTTTTGGAATTTTTCATATTAATTCTTCTGAGATTATAGTGAATCACAGGAGAAGCAAGGTGAAAAGCTGTTAATTCCAGATTCTAGGGTTAATTAGCTCCTTTATACCACACTTCTGTAGGAAAGTGTAATAGGTATGGTGACAGAGACTTATGTTAGGTTCCCTTTTTATAGATTCTTGAATCAGGAAATACTTTAATTGCAGCAAAAAGCAAGATGGTACAAGAAAAGCGACATTTTTCTACCAGAATTCACACCAACTTCTCTCTAATGGGGGCTGAGATGAAAAGATTTTCAAGTCCTGAGCAGGATGCTCCTGTTAATGACACAGTAAAGTTGCCTCTGACTGACATTTAGAAGGAGATTCAGCAGATCCTTCCCCGCTCCGTGTTCCAACGTGCAGACTTCCGATTCAGCCTCAGGAGAGCAAACGTGATCCACCTTTCTACCAGGAGACCTTGAAGCTCTGTGTCTCCGTAATCGATTCAGGCACATTGGTTATGCGGGGGAGGTGAGCGGGGCCCCCTGAGCATCCATATTGATGATGTGGTCACTCACCCGCCTTCCCCCATCCTGTCATGCCTCAGGCCTGTGCTTCCCGGACACCAGCTGTCACACAGGAAGCTGCAGCCTCCCTTTCTCCCGCCTCCTTTGCTGGCTGGAGCTGCAGGATCATGGCCTGCAGAGTTTCCTTCACCATCTGGAGCTCCCTCTTGAGAGACTGTGCGCACATTGTTAAGGAACACATGCAAAGGTGATCGGCGGCCCTCTGCAGCCTCCGAGGGATCTAATAAGAGCATGCATGCCTGCTGGAAGCAGATGGGCACTGCCATCTAATTGCAGTTTCAAGTTCTTCCAAATTGTAGGAATTAAATATTAATACTAATTTTACACTTCTTTTAAGAGCGATTGCAATTTCTACGAGGCCTGAGGTTATTAACTATCTCAAGTAAGGTTTTAGAAAGGAAAAGGAAAGAGTCAGCTCTTAGACTGAGACAGATGGCCAACTGGGAGGCTCCATGATACATGGGCAGTGTGACTGTAATTCCTGCTAAGCCCCAAGCTGGGGCGGGGAAACTGTCACATCCAACTGCTCCGACAGCGCAAAGGGCAAAAGGCTGGAAATCAGAGCCTCCTCTGGAAATCAGAGCCATCTAGGATTTGGGGGCCACCACAGGTGCAGAGGGGTACTCTGGCCCAGATTCAGAGTCATGAGTTATGGTCCCTGTTTGTCATTAGCTGGACTTATCACCTTGTGCAAATCACTCTGAACCTCAGTTTTCTTATGAAACAATGACTTCTGAACCCCTGTAGGTCCTAATCTGCTGTCATGTGGTATAGTCCCAGGTACTTGTAGAACAGCCATTCAAAGGACTGAAGATTTGACAGAGTGCAGAGAGCTTGCCTTTTCTGGGTTTGTTTGTTTGTTTTTCCTTAAATTGTTGGGTTCTTAGTTTCCTAATCTGCAAAGTTGCTTCTCACATAGAGACAACAATCATAGAGAACTTAGCATTTAATTATATGGGATAAATAAGACTGTCATTCTCAAGAAATGGGCTCTCTTCTGGGTGTTTGAGCTACGGAACGTTTACCCAGTGATGGTCTTCTGTCTATCCATAGTCAGGTCCCACTGCTCTTTCCTTTTGTATTTGTAGTCAGAACAACTCTAAGATAAACACAGGATGAGCGATGGGTTGAATTCTCTTAATTTAACAGGGAAACTAACCTCATCCAACAGGAACGAAGGCGAAACAAGAACTATGTCAACACTACTTAAATACCACTAAAAATCATCACATGAAGTTGGACCACTTGAATATTACTAGATCAGATATGGAGAAAACAGAAAGTTTTGGGGAAAGTAGCTCACAGAGATCTTACCACTCACAGTCTGTCTATGCTACAATGTTGTATTATTGCAGTACAATGTCAATGCAATGTCAAGAGAAAAAGACACCCTTAGGTTATGACTGTAGAAAGCTTTCTCTTTCTTTTTTAAATAAGGAACTCTGGAGGATCCTGGGAATCATACAAATGAACCTTTCCTGAGCAAAAATGTTGAACCACCCTGGAAAGATTTTGGCAGCTTTTCACTGTCTTGAAGCTTCACCAGACATCATCATTTCTGTAATTTACATACATTTTCTATGATGGTTCACTCCTTGCGCTTGAACTCGAGGGAATGAGGGTAGGGTTGGTGGGTGCAAGGGAAAAGAGAATCCAATATTTGTCTTTTTTTTCCTAAGGGGCTTTGTTTTTCTCCATTTCTCTGGACAGCTCTGCTAATCTTTAGTGAAAACACATATGACTTTATACAAGCAAAAGCATAAGTGGTCCCAGATCGAATATCAAGCTGCAATTTAATCACAAGTTATGCTACATTTATAAAGAGTAAGCATGGAGCTTAAGCAGTTTATGAATCCTGACCAACTCCTGAGATTTAATTACCTTTGATATGCAGCCTGGAACTACACGCCCCTATTTGTAACATGCTAAATGATGACAAAGGTTTTTAGAGAGAGAAACTGAACCAAAATGAGATGCTTCTGAAAGAACTCATAAAATTTCTGGCAGGACACACTGAACAGGTTTTTAAGAAGAGAGTGATTGAGAAGCCCCAAAGGAAAAAGACTAAGTTATGTAACTAAAATAACACATCAGCCCTTCACATGACAATCTCCTCTGACACATGGAGGAGTCAGAAGGCGGGATTTGAGGATGTAATCAACAGCTATGGGAAGCTGGCAAATCATTTAAGGCTTTAATTCTCTCACAGGTAAAAATGCAGATTCTCATACCTTCTTCACAGGGCTGGGGTTAAAAGAAATACTCTTTTCTTGTGAGAGTACAGTGCCTTTTGTGAGGCACTATGAGATTTAAAGTTTATTTACTAATATAGCAGATGTAGCAAATACCTTAGGCTCTAAGCAGGGCTAGACATTAGAAATCCTGGAAACCTCATTTAGTAAGCCTGTGGGGCAATAATCCCCAATATGATTAAAACCATGTTTTTATTTATAAAATACCTCTCTCTAGCCAACCTGCCTGTATGATTCCTTATTTAATATGAGTTCCAAAACATTTTGAGTGTATTGAAATGGAAGACAGTCAAGGATAAAATGTGGAGTGGGGGATAAAAAAGCAAATTGCAGAACAACTTGTATGGAAAGATCCTAATTTTAAAAAAAAAAAAAAAGAAAAAAGAAAAAAAAAGACTATAGAGATAAGCCATTTCTAGTTAGAAAAGTGCCTTAGGAGGACACAGTGGTAGACTTCTAGGATTGGTACTGAGAGGGAGATGGAGTCTTTTTTTCATACTTCTGTAATATTCACAATGGACATGCATACTTTCGTATTTAAATCAATGTGTTTATAGAAGAAACCACTTGAAACATTTCCCCATTAAGCAGCTGGGGAAATGAAAGTATAGATAGAAATCCTCATTCTTTCCTTCACTCATTCAAATATTCAAATATTTCTCGAGCTCCTCCTGCGTGCAAGAAATGTTCTGGATGTCAGATGTACAGGAGTGAACCGAACTACATTAGTGCTGCCACGGAGCTTAAGTGCCAGTGAGTGGAGCAGAAAATACACACACAGGCGCATACATAGACTGTGAAATGGGAGCCATGGGAAGGTCCAGAGCAGGAGAGCGACATGATCACTCTGGCTGCTTTAACTCTTAATAAATTAAAGGGGGCAAGGACAGAAGTGTGGGGATGAGAGGAGGCCATTGCAATAATTCAGGCAAGAAAAGATCATGGCTTGGACCTGGGCAGTGGCAGTGGAGGTGGTGAGAGGTGGTCAGATTCTGGATATGTTTTGAAGATAGAGCCAACAGCATATGGTGATGGACTAGACGTGGAATGCGAAAGAAGCAAAAGGCATTGAGAATGACTCCCAGGTTTTTTATCTAAGCAATGAACTGGAAAAAACAGACTTGCAACTTATCAAGAAGGAGCAGACTGGGAATGAGTCAGGTTTTTTGAGGGTGGGGAGGAATTTGATTTTGGACAAGTTAAGTTGGAAAAGCCTATTTGTCAGCCAAGTGGAGATGTTGAGTAGGAAGTAGACATGAGTCTGAGGTTCAGGGAGAGATCCAGGCTGCAGATATGTACTTGGAGGTTATATTGAAAAATACGTTTTAAAAATATTTTTACAACATTTTCTCACTGTATCCCATTTGATACATCTAACCAAGATCTTAAGGCTACCAAGTAGTAGAGCAGGACCAGAATCAGATTTTCTGATTGCTAGTCCACTGGGCTCATAGATGAAGCCCATTGACATATTTGACCTTGACTTTTTGTCAAAGGGCTGAGCAAATAAAGTAAAACTCCAGTATTGGAATTTTAGCTATGTATGATGGAGGTGCTCACTACATCTAAGTACAAGAAAAGGTCTCAAAAGAGCAGAATGATTCCTGTGATGCTGTGCCATCAAAACTAAGTATAAAGTTCCCCTGCAACAGATGTGCCACCAGATATCTGTGGCATCTAAGAAAATCAGCAGATTAATCACAATAATGGCACAAGGAGTGACATGCCAACATCTTAAAAACACCTTTGGAACCCAAGACCATTCTTTACCACCTTGAAACAAACTACACGCATATCAAGCAAGTGTATAACTTCTTGATAGTAAAATTGTGCAAACTGTGTTTACAATTAGTGCAGTGGTAAGACAGCAAGACACCTTTCACAGATATCGATCAGGAACACAGAGGTAAGGCAATATTGTCATTTAGGGCAGCCATTTGCAAAGATCCTCAAATTTTTTTCAAAGGAGTCTTTTGTTTATGTATGAAAACAATTGAGTGTTTTATAGTCAATTGGGATTCCAAGTGATCATCTTAGCAGCTGCATCAAAAGTAGGTCTTCAGTTCATCTGACCTACTTTGGTTCAGAAAGAAACTACAGCAGATCCTTTGAAACTGCTTCTCATTTGCTAAAGTATTTCTTCATATCAACAGTGTTCCACTGCAGCCACTATGGTCTCCAGTACTGGCAAATCTACCTTCCCGGAAAAGCCAAAGGTGAGGAACACAGTTGTTAAAGAGTAAAGAGGAAAGCCTCGCCCCCACACATGTTCTGCTTCAGTGGATTTGATGCTTGTACAGGGTACTCCTGCTGGTGCCTACCTGGTGCTAAGCCAGCAGCAGGACAGCCTGGCGTCCACACCCTCTCCTAGGCTTCCTCTTCTCCTCCACTGTGGTGCTCCAACTCTCCCTCTTCCCACCCTACTCCCTTTGGTGGGAGCCAAAGGGAAAAGCCCTGGCCACCATACCTGCATCAGCTCTGCATACACAATACTTTAAACCACAACCTCTTAGGGTCTCAGTTTTCTTATCTATAAAACTTGTGAGTGGAGCTCCCTGATCCTCATAATCCCTCTTCCAGCTCTTTAGCTCTAGAAGCAGAAAACAATTCCATGGAGACAGATCAATCTCCCAAATCTCCTGTTACTTTTCTCTGTTCAAGCTACAAATTTGAAAGCTGAACCAAACAAGGGTTCGTAAAGAGATGTGATGTTTGCGCATGTGCCTGGATGTATTTAGAGTATTTGCATGCCATCTAGCACCACCAAAACTAATTGATTGGGAACCATGCATTCCAAATAAGCAGAGAGAATAGAATTCCATGAGGGTTTCCTGGACATGGATGTAAATAGAATCGCAAATAGAATCAGTCTGTCTCTATCTCATCTGTGACTCAGAGGAAGGCAGAACTGCCCTGGGGGCTTTGAAACATGCAAAAGTGTTCTGATCCTGGGTGTACTTCTTTTCCTTTGAAAGTGTGTTGTAGAAGTTGAAGGAGGAAAAAATGAGAAAAATACCTGCTTAAAAATTCACCCAACCTAGATGGTTTTCAGTTAAAGCATTTTGAACTTGGAGGAACCATTATATACACCCAAAACGTTTTTCAAAACACAACTGCTAATTAGGACCCAAAATAACTGTGAAATTGTACTAGAGACTCAGACTAACGTTCCTGGAAATCCCGGCTTGGCTGGCAGTGAAGTCACACCTCCCGTCCTCTCCTCAGACACCGGGCATGAGTCACCTCTCTGACGCCGGCTCTTCCAATTAATGGTGCAGACTCCAGACTCGCCGCCATGGTAGCTGACAGGTTTGTGTTTTTTGGTCATGCTACATGTAATTTAGTGAGCCTGTCAGGATGATGAAGAGACATGGTCAGTTTTCTCCCCCTCTTCCAATCTGTCAATCAAGTGTCTTCTTCATAAAAGCAGGCGACTCCCAGCAGGCTGCCCGTTGCGCTGATATGAAGTCAGGATGCCCAGAGGCCCTGTTTGGAAACTCAACCCCACTATAGGTCACTGGCCCAATCCTCTGTTGATTCCACATAAACAATGCTTTCCCACACACATGGCTTATGCAGAAGCTTAGTGCACTCCACACAAAGAATGAGCATCCATAGCATCCAAGCCTTGAATCTTCTGGATGTGGACTCACATTAATCATGTTGTCTCCACATCATATGCACAGTAGGCTCTGGCAGAGTGCTTTGTGGACTCAAAAACATTACATTCATGTTGTTGCTGGCAAAGCTGTTTCTTTCATCCACACTCAGCTTTGTATCTTTGATCAAGGATGGAAACACACACCAGTCAGAGTTTGGCTGGAGGATTCTGGCAGCCTCTTTGAATCTCTAGATAAGTTCTAATTTGAAACAAGGGCTTTGGTTTGTGTAGGGAGCCTCCGCAGAGGCTTGTAAATACGTCTTTCTATCTTAGGGCACCACGTTCCACTCAAATCTAAGTGCCGCTTTGTAGGAGTTTAAAGCTACCTCTGTGTGTTTACCCTCAATCAGAGACACAGAACAAAGCCTGGGCTTCACAGGAAAGCCTGGGTTAAAATCCATATTGTGATGTAGATTTTATTTGAGGGATAGGGGGTTGAATTCAGTACCTAAACAGGTGCTTCCCAACCCCCCGTTTACATGTCCCCAGGATGTCTCCATTTACCTCAGCAGGGATCAGCAAAATTCTCAAAAAACATAATTTCAATAAAACACTTTTATTATAGCGTAAAATTTTTATAGTAACTCTATGTTCCACAGAACAGGCCTGTCCATTTACTTATAGGCATAGTTGCCTCCTGATTAGCAAAGAAGGACCACAGGGCTTGTGGCTGGAAGATTCCGCCACTCATTAGAAATGACCTTGGACCAGCCATGTACTTGCTAGGCCTCAGTTTCTCACCTGTCAAGTAGGGATAGTAATCTCTATCCATCTATAGCAGTTTTATTAGAATTAAATGACTTTTCATATAAGCCATTGTGTGGTTATTGATCAAGTCCTTCAAGCAGTTATTACAGAATTGTTGAATCAACTGACCTCGAAACCTCTTATGTGTAAATGGGATGTGGTTTGAGCTTGTGACACAGACACTGAGAATGGTGAGGCAAACGGACTCGGAGAATATAGTTTTCTACCTAAAACCAACCACTTACCGCACATAAGAACTATGTTAAACGTACTTTCTGAATAAAGCTCCATTTAGCCCCCAGGGAAACCTTAGACGTACATGTTGTTATCTGATGTTACAGACAAGGAAGCTGATGCTTACAGGGGCTTTATCAACAGTCTGTGATCTTGTTGCTACTGAATCTGGCTTGGATTGGCTGTGGGAAAACTAAAAGGGTCTTATTTACACACAGCTCTGTCCCCTCCCAGCCTCCTCCCCACCACCCAACCTTATTAAGGAGAAAACCCAATACCCTAGAATCAAACTAATCTTCTAGAAAATTTTTAACAAGAGATCAACACAGACCCTGACAGCAGCTCTCAGAACTGCTACCTGAACCCACCACAAGCCTGAGGTATGTCCCACTGAAGAATGACCCCACCTGCTGGGGAACCCCTCTATATGCATTGCCTCTATGCACAGCGTTGTCCCCAAGTGCAGCCACAAACAGTTACTTGCCCGTTGGCTGGAGGCCAAGCCCCCTTATAAATGCTCAAATCTGTGCAACCCATGAACATGGAATAAACGAAAATGTAAAACAAAATTTCTTCTACTGCTTCTTTGGCCAACTGGCTAATAATAGCTTGAACACTAGTTTTGCAAGAGGCAGGAAATTATGAAGAACAGAATGTCTACTTTTAAAAATCTACCTTGAGCAATGTGAAAATATCTGCTGATTAAGTTGAAGAAATTTCCTGCTAAGTTTAACAAGCAAGGTCAAAGATTTAAGGTTAGAATGAGAAAAGAAACATAGTGTTGAATCCTTCATCAAACTGTGGATCTGAATACTTGTGATCAAGATTAATCCTTGACCATTGAAAGCTACTTACACACACACACACACACGCAAACACACACTCAAGATAAAGTCTGTAAGAACTAAAATTCTGAAAAGTAAGACAGCAAGGAGAAGCAAAGACCAAAATAGCTAGATTTCCCACAAATACATCTAATAAAAGTCATCCTACTAAATAGAAAGAATGAATGAACAGAGAAATGCTCTCATCTAGGGAAGCGTCAACTTGCGATTAAATAACTGAAAAGATACAGGACGGGGCTGCATATCCCTTCATCCATCTGTGCATCCATCCGCTTGCCCTCAACAGAACTAACCAGGGACAAGCTGACAGCATCCACAGATCAACATGGGACACAGTGCTTTCCTATGGATGCAGACCTAAGCCAACATGTTCTCATGCATCTTGCTCACTGGCAGCTCATTTTGGTGAAGATATTTGCAAATGTGACACCAAGTGTATTGCCTTGTGCGAGAAGAAATTGAAAAGGAGTGATCCAAGACTTGTTAGTTATGGTACTCCACCACCAGTTACACTGCAGAACTGCATGGTAAAGAAAACCAAAGATGGATTTGGGTTTCTTGGTATGGAGAAAGTCCCCAGAAAACGGAGCCAGTCAGATCCATAACCGTCTGAGCCACACAAACCCCGCTTCACATCCCCTGAAAACTGTATTATGTCATTGTATGCATGCCTAAATGTCAGGGGTAACTTTTAGTGGTCAGGTTTAATAATAAAAAATGATGAATTACTCACCAAAACCTAGAGAGAAAACATTGCATATTGGATAATCTCAGAGATCTGAGGTGTGCTGTATTACAAATAACAGCAGTATCTATTTGTTTTCATCTGCTGAGGCATGGAAAAGATGTATATTTTTTAAAGACTTTTACAAAACAACCTAGCAGGTGCTTAATCTGAAAGATGAAAAGGATATGAATGAGCTCTTCATCATGACTCTGAATCGCTGTGTGAAGTTGATCTTCTAAGTACAATAACTTCTTGCCTATGGCTTCACATTTTTCTCCAAGTTCTGCAGAAAAGATGTAAGATTCCTGGCCGGAGAAAAAGAAAAAGATAACTTGTGAGCAATAGGCTTTTTCAGGGCCACGAACACATCTGTAATTTACCCAGCGGTACACAAAGGGAAGATTTCCCAACAGAGCTCTCCCAGCTTCTGCAGCTCAGTAGAGTCACACCAGAACCTTTGTCTGCCCTGGAGGTCATTCTTTTTTTTTGTGAGGAAGATCAGCCCTGAACTAACATACATGCCAATCCTCCTCTTTTTTGCTGAGAAAGACCGACCCTGAGCTAACATCTATGGCCAATCCTCCTCCTTTTTTTTTCCCTTTTTCTCCCCAAAGCCCCAGTAGATAGTTGTATGTCATAGTTACACAACCTTCTAGTTGCTGTATGTGGGACGTCGCCTCAGCATGACCGCACAAGCGGTGCGTCGCTGTGTGCCCGGGATCCGAACCCGGGCCACCAGTAGCGGAGCACGCGCACTTAACTGCTAAGCCACAGGGCCAGCCCTGGAGGTCATTCTTGAGAAGACATGAACTGATTTCAGGTTATTACCCAATGGTGAGCTGTATCTACACAGCTCTACAGGTTACCTCCCTGGTCATTTTAAAGTGCTATTTCTAGTATGTCAATTCCTAAAGTGGGTTTATCAAAGGGGAAGCCTGAGTCTTCCAGCTGCATCCATGGGCAAAGTCACAATATAACAGGAATTCTAACCAGAGAGTCTGAGGCCAGTCACAGGAGCAACTAGGCTGACTTGTAAGAACAAAGAGATATTCCCTTACGGGTACAGGAATGTAACAGGGCACTGAACATTTGTTTACATGCTGGTCACAATCCCTGAAAGCTAGAGTATTATGGAGACTTGAAATGCCATAAGGTGTGTGTTATGTAAACAACTGCAGCCACCACCATAGATGTTAGTTTTCTCTCTCCTTCACCGAAGCATAAGCCCCATAAGAGCAGGGACGATGAATGTCAAGCCCATAGTGGAGGGACAATGATGTCTTGCTCGCTGCTGGGTCCAGAGCTCCTGGCAGTGTCAGACACATGGCAGACACATGATATTCATTGGTTCCATGAAGGAATAACTGAGTCTTGGAGCTCCTTCCTTCTCAAATGTTTCCCCTTCAAACTTATATCCCAGACATGGGCCAGAAAAAATGCCCTCTTCATGTCACTTTCCTGCACAAAACCACCACGGAACAGAGTCCAAACTCTGCCCTTCCACAGCATGGCACTAGGCCCGCACTTCAGCTGTGTCCCCACAACTAAGAGACTGTGTGCTAGTCTCTTATATGCAACCTAACCTTTGCCAACTGGACTGACCCCGTTGCCTTTTGTCGCACTGTTCTTCTTGCCCGTCCCCTCTCCTCCATCCTTCTCTGAAACCCAACCTTTCCTTCAAGGCCCCAAAACAATGTTTCCACCTGGTAGTGCAGCAGTCTGATATGTGTTATGTCCTCTCAAGTGAATGTAAACTCCCTCTGGGCATGGCCACGGTGACTCATTCAACCCAGGGCCTCAAGTGTAATGCCTGGCAGACAGAAGGCCACCGATTTTTAAAAGAAAAGAATAAACAAGGTCAAGAAAATGAGGAAAGAAAACAGGAATCTTAGAATAAAGGATAAGGACAAAAGCAGCATTATGCTTAGTGACAGAAGTCAGACAGAGAAAGACAAATACTGTATGCTATCACTTACATGAGGAATCTAAAAAAGCCGAACTTGTAGAAACAGAAAGTAAAACGGTGGTTACTAGAGCCTGAAGGGGTAGGGAATTGGGGAGATGTTGTTAAAAGGTACAAACTTGCAACTAGAAGATAAATAAAATCTGGAGACCTAAGCACAGCAGAGTGATTGTAGGCAACAATACTGTATTGTATGCTTCACAGTAGCTAAGAGACTAGATCTTAAATGTTCTCACCACAACAAAGAAATGATAATTATGTGAGGTGATAGAGGTGTTAGGTAAAGCTATAGTGGTAATTGTACTGCAATATATAAACGTATCAAATCAACACGTTGTACACCTTAAACTTATACAATGTTATATGTCAATTATATCTCAATAAAAAACATACTAAATAAAGAAGCAGCAAAAAGTGAGCTCAGAATTAAAACTTAACCAAAGGTAAAAGTAATATTTTCCCAACTCATAGTGAAAGTCTTAGAAGGGATACTAAAAAGAATTTTGCATAAGGGAAAGAATTAAGACATATATTCGGATTACACCACAGGGTTACTACAAAAGCTATAATTAATACCTAAAAAAACCCAAAATGCCCAGGTGTGGTGATATTTACTGTTAAAAAGTCTCTAGAGATCATGAGTTATATAATATTATAATTGGAGTCCATGAATAACCATTAAATCCAGACATACAATTTAACATTCACTGTATTAACTCCAGAACGCTTTAAAGTTTAAATCCCAAATGGTCAGCCATCTTAGAATAAAACAGTGCTAATAGGAACTATAAATAACTATTGTAAATATTGCACAAGTCTAATATGCTGCAAGTAAATGTACATACAAAAGAAATCCAGTGACAACAACATACAGTTTTGAGGACAAAGGGACACAATTAAACAAGAAGGTATGTGAAGCATGCGTGAAGGTTTGCTCCTAATTGACCATAGCAGTGATGATGAGAAGACAGCAAATACGTAAAAATCACATATACTTATATATTTTACTGATCCTAAAAATAGTAACATTATCATTCAAAGATGTAGAATTACAGAGTAGGCAAATTACATGGAAGTTGAGACAATGGGCAATGAGTAACGCTGTAGTCATGCATAAAATAAATGAGACACTAAGAAAAAGAACATCTGGAGAAAAATGATTGACAGTGGGGAAACCACAAGTCATATACGAAGGAGAAAAATACAGTGTTAGTGGGGAAATATGTATGACTGAGAATACACTTAAAGAGAGAAAACACAGAATCAGAACGTGGAACCAAGGAATTTAAAGCACTCTGAGATGGAATCAAATGATTCGATCTTCATCTTAAGGCTAAAATAACTATAAATCAAAGCTAAATTAAATCCATTCAAAATATGACTTTACATTTCCCCCCAAATATATAATCCCCGCCTATTTTCCTTTTAAAATTATGTATAGATTGATAGCACACTTTGATTGTGTGAATTTCGGAAAGCGATTTCAGACCATGTAGCAAAAACTTTAAATTGTTCATAGTCTATGATCCAGTAATTCCACTTCCTGGAATACATCAAAAAGAAAATTTATATATTTAAATTTAAATAATTTTTATCAAGCCTCTTAAGTAGGAAAAATGTTTATCATATATGTTAAATAGAAATATAATATTTCAATAATGCAAAAGTAATTGCATTAAAAGTATGAGAAAGAGGAAATAAACATATATAAATCTAAATAAATAAATAACTTAAATGTCCAATAAAAGGCATAGTTAAAATAAGTTCTGGCGTATTCAATTCGTATTTAGCCATTAACATCATCTTAATACAAGAATATTTAATGGTGAGGAAATACTCAAATAGGCAAAGCACTAAAATATTAACCATTACTATTTGGAGGAGCAGTATTATAGCAAATTTTTATTTTCTTCTCTACACTTTGTTGTATTTTCCACACCTCTAAAATATAGTAAAGAAAAAAAATTACCAAGAACACTAATTCAAACCATAATGGAAAAGTATGGAAGAAATACACCTAAATATTTAAAATACAACTTTAAAGATTAAAAAGACAAAGAGGCATAAGGAAACGAACTCAGAGAGCTCCAGATTCTATGATCTGTAATAGAAGATCTGACTGGCATTCTCTCACAGGCTGTTTCTCCAAGTTATAGAACCCCTACCAGGCTCCTGAACAAACCACTACTTGTTGGCCTGACAGATTCTGATCTTGAACTGAAAAGATGCTGAGTGTGACCTGGGTGAGTATTATTTGAGGGGTTTATGGCTTTCCTATAATGCTCACATTCGCAATCCTGGGAATAGAATTGGTTTAAGACCTAAACTGCGAAGTGACAGCTAAGGAAAGAGCAGATTTACACATTTCTAGCAATCTGATGAAAAATTCTGCTCTGTCCAAAGGAATCCTACTTGCCCAGAGAGGGCAGGGCAGGACCAGAGTCATGGGTATCAGCTGGACAAAGTTGCAGAGGTCCTGCTTGTTAACCCTACACTTGAGGGGCCAGGCAGAATGTCCCTGTCCATCTCCATGCTGTGCCCAGGTAAGGCAGAGTGTATGTATGGCCACAGCAATATGGCTTTCCAGAACCTTGCCTCTCTGCTCTCAAGAGACAATTTATTATTTCTTCCCCTTGAACCTGGGTGGGCCTTTGAGGATCCTTCAATGAACAGAACACAGCAAAGCTGACATGCCTGACTTCCAAAGCCCAATTACAATAGGTGATAGGTCTTCTCATGTCACTTGCCCTGGAACCTGGCCTCCATGTTGTGAGGAAGCCAAGCCACACAGACAGGCCATGTGTGGGTGTGTGGTCGAGACCCCCAGCTAGGGCCCCTGCCAACAGCCAGACACAGAAGGGACTGAGCCTTCAGATGATTCCAAGGTCCACCTTCCAGTCATCCAGCTAACACCCAAACACAGTGGGGCAGAGACAGTCCTCTCCACAGTGCTCTGTCTGGATACCTGACCCACAGATCCATTCACATATTAAATGGTTGTTTTAAATCACCAAGTTGAGGGTGATTCATTGCAGCCATAGTAGCTAAAACAGCAGGCTACACTGGTTATACCCTACACAGGATCCTGCGTGGGTGGACAGGACTGTCGCCAAATGCTAGCGGGAAGTGCACCCTCATTGGTCCCGAGCTAAAGAGAGATTTCCAAGACTGATTGTATCTTGAAGCTCATTGAAGTGCTAATGCCCAGACTTGTCTCAGGGTGGGGAGCTCCTAGCCATGCTGGGAACTGTGGCTATGAGGCTGAGAAGTGCAAGAAAGAGATGTCAATGAGTGGCCACTGCTGCCGCTGATCACTGGTCCCCAGATGATCCCTGGCTCCTG